TGTGTGTGTGTGTGTGTGTGTGTGTGTGTGTGTGTGTGTGTGTGTGTGTGTGTGTGTGTGTGTGTGTGTGTGTGTGTGTGTGTGTCAAGAGGTGTTTGTGTTCGTGTATGTGTAAATTTGTGTGTTTGTTTTCCCGAAAGCATTGCAAAGAGTTCTTCAGGTTGAATATGTTGCCGATTGCGCAGGTCAAGTTGCACTAGCAAGTTACATGAGAGACTGCTTGAATTTGCTTTAGCAAGTTACACAACAAAGTTACATCAGAGGTTGCTAGAGCAAGCTGCACGGCTAGAGCAAGCTACACGACGAAGACACCCGAGGGACGCCTACAAGAAATCTGCTTGACTTTTGTGAAGGTGGGAAATTGCGTTTTTGTTGGACACGCAGGGATTCTCAAGTGGTCAGACCATCCCCACATCAACGCTTCACATCATCATCATTTACCCTTCAGATAAGCACAAGCCAGGTGACATGTCAACCTATCAAACCGTCGCCTACGTGCTTGTGTCCCTGTCGGTCAATTGATACGCAACATGTAAAGATTGTTGCCACATAATGCGGCCTTCATCCTCTAAAAACTGCCCAGTTGGCGCAGGCCCGCCGCCTTCGAATAGTAGCTTTGGCCCACTTAGACCCCGCAGAAAACCCAGCGTGAACACCGTGTTTTTTGTTCGCCTCACCTTCCTCGCAGTTCGGCAGGCAAAAACCGCGCTTTTGCTACTTTCCGCATAGCGCGCGCAACCGTGTGGATTGGCATGGCCGAGGTTGAAAACATGGTTTGTTTGTTTGTGTGTGTGTTTATGGACCCCTTTACAGGTATGTCGGCAAAATAATGTCCGTGACAGATGTAAAGAGTCTTGACCATGGCACACATGTTTGTGATTTTGTTGATGTTGTGTAAGAAGTCCTCTGCTCACATTTCTTACATACCTGCTTAATCATACAACCTAATTATGCAGCAAGACCGCCTGGCTCATTACATACCCCTTCTTGCACACCCCGTCGAGTATCTGACGTAGCAAACCTCCTCGTTGCATAGCCGCACGCGCACAGACTGTGACGAATTCCCCATTGAAGCTGGCTTTTGCAGAGCAGGTCTTCGCTCGCTCCGCGGAGTCCTTGCGGCACAGACGCACAGCGTTCCGAGACTTTGCGCGTCTTGAAGAAGAAGGGCCGGGTTTTGCCTTCCGTTTCTGGCTTTTGCCTACACAGCCCGAGTCCACACACCCTTTTCTTGCCATCGCCTGGCTAGTGCTCCACATTTAGTTGCGACTTTTGAGTTGGAGCTGGCTGGTGTTCTGTGCGCAGGAAAAGAATCAAAAGGGCACTACGAACCAACAGGAATATGATGCCAGAAAAGGAACAGTGATAACTCACGGGTGCACAACCCCGTTGGGCCGAAGAAAAAACGAGATCATGTTGACAAAACACGTTAAATGATACTATGTTCATTTTACCTTGCATTCAGCCTGCAGGCTCGACGATGACTGTTGAGCGCAGATTGAAGTCTTTGTGAGCTTGCGAATTCAAGCTATCAATTCTTCATGGAATGTGTCATGCGACACAATCCATGCTAGTGCTCCAGCTGCGGTAGATGCATGGCCGGATTGCTGGCCAAGCACTACGTGTGTGCAACCGTTCTTTCAGGCAGTGTGAATTACCAGGAGCTGTTCATTAGTAATTTGAACAACTTTTGGTGCGTGATTTGCTTGATTTGATGAGAGGTGTCTCCGAACGGAGAGAGAAACAGAGAATTATTGCATCTTTGGCAGGTATGAATGCAATGTACGTAATGGGGAGTAGGATATGTGCGGAGATTGTATGTTTAGTATGTTTTTGAGCGATTGGAAATTGAACAAAATAAAATAAAAATATATTATTGAATACATTATATGAGGATAGATTAAAATTTTATTATTATTTGTTTTTTTGTAAGGATTGAAAACGAAGACATTTTCCGTGGTTGTGGAAGATTGTGGAAGGATGAGCGGAAGTTTTGAGGAAGATTATATATTATTAGGGAATGAAATTGTATTTTTATATTATATAAGTATGGTAAAATTGTGTTGTTTATATTGGGATAGTTTGTATTTAAAAGTTGTGATATTTATATTGGATTATTAAAATCAATAAAATTTTAAGGAACTAAAAAATATATTTTGAAAATGAATTGTAATTTCATATAATAATAATAATTTTGAAAGATTTAAAATATAATAATATATGAAACATATAATATATTTACAAAAAAAAATATATTGTAAATAAATCTTAATATAATTTAATTTAAATATATATATATAATTCAATTTATTATTAATTACTTATAAATATATTATATATATATGATAATGAATTTTTATATTATGTTTATTTATTTTTATTTTAAAATTGGGTTTTAATTAAAAAATCTAAATAAATAAAATTATAGTAATTTTTAAAATTAAGGCTATTGAAGAATTTGTATCGATTATTAATCGATTAAAATATAGTGATATATAAACTCGAATTATATTTAAGTATTTATTAAATATTATATTTTATTATTGAATAAATAATTTAATTTTCAAGTTGCTTTGTATTACTTATTGGTATCTCTTATAGCCAATTAGTTTGAAGAATATATTCTAAGGTTATTTCACAATTTAAAAAATTAATATAATTCTAAAATAATAAATCCTTAAAATATATTTCCAATTTTTAATTAAGACGAAAATATTTATGAAATTAAACATGGGTTCGTTTGATGTCGAATAAGTATGAATAAGAATGAATTAATAATAATATATTGTTTTATGTTTTTCCCTTTCCATAATTAAATATTATTTAAATTATATCTATATAAAAAATATATATATATATATTTGTGAGGCGAGCTTGGATCGAATTCTTTCTTTTTCCCAAATGTGTGTTATGTCAATTCTACCGCGGGCAGCGGCCCCAACAAGCGTATTATTTCATCCAGAGTCTTCTTTTGTGTTGGAAGATGGGAGAGTGGTTGGGGTTATGACAAGAGGCGGAACAGAGTGTTAAATACAAGGATTCCCGGTCGTTTATGTTGCAATCTCGACGACATGATGATGACCCCGTCTTGGATCGCAAAACTTTGGAGGCTGAGCGCTTAATTTTTTTGGGACGACCTTCCCAAGCTCTTCAACGATTTCTTTCACCTGGATTGGCTCACAACACGCCGGAGGTTCGAGGGAAATTGTTAGCCAAATTTCCTCCTTGCCCGCCAGATTCGTTGTCTCAAGTTGTGGATATGCCGCTTTCTGACCCTATAACCACCGACAATTTAATCCGGCAGATCCGCTCGTTTGCCGTAGGTGTCGGTCCGGGATCAGACGGGTTAAGAGCTGATTTCCTGAAAGCTCTTCTGGGTTCCGGCTCTGTGGTGCCGCTTTTTTGCGATTTCGCTCAGTTGTTGGCTGACGGATTGGCTCCCGATTATTTACGCCCTTGGATTGGCAGAGGCCAATTAATTGGGGTTGGGAAGACCGATGCCCAGGGAGAACCCATCCCATTGAATGAGGATGCTCGCCCGATTGTTATGGGGCTTACTTGGAGGAAATTTGTGTTTAAATGCATTTTGGCGATGGACCGCCCCGAAATTCAGCAACATTTGGCACCTAGTCAGTTGGCTGTCGGCATTTCTTATGGTGCTGAGGTCATGATCCACGCGGCACGAGAGTGGATTGGACAAAATATTGTTAGGCCCACTTGTGTTCTTCTGCAGACCGATATTCGCAATATTTTTAATGAAATGTTGCCTGTTTAATTCTTGAAGGATGCCCGCGACCACATTCCCTCCTCGGCTCGATTTGCTTCTTATTGTTATGGAACCCCGTCTTATTTGGTTTACTAAGGACAATTGGAACAATGTTCGCGAGGACAACAAGCTTGCCCCATCATGAGTCCTTTGTTTTGTCTTACTCGTTATCGAATGCAAACCGCCGTGTTCGCCGCTAGCGACAGGCCCCCGCCGGAATTTTCGCCGGCTTTTGCGGACGATGGGTTTATGGGGGGGGGAGATGGAAGATGTTTGGGCTGCGTTTCAACGACAGATACGTTTGACTCAGGAATACGGGCTGCACATCCAACCACACAAATGCACCTTGTACCTTCTTGCGGGGGAACAATTCCGTGGAAATGTTTCGCGTTTCCAGGCGTTGGGAGTTATTGTAATTACTAGTCATAATTCGTTTATGTTTAAAGTGCCTATTATGGGGTCGGCGGATTTTTTTTATAATTTCCATGAATAGAAGAATCAGGAAATTGAGAAATTCTTCTCTGCGATAAAAAGCTTGCCGCACAAGCATGCTGCTTTCCATCTTATGCAGAGCAGTACTGCCTTTAATAAGATGCAATATTTGTGCCGCACCACTCCTCGACCGTTAATTAGACCATATTTGCATTTCTTCCATGATCGAATGAAAAGATGTTTGGAATTATGTCTTGGCACTGTTTTGACTCGAACCCAGTAGTCGCAAGCCAAATTGCCTATTAAGCAAGGGGGACTTGGATTTCTTAGTCCGCGAACCGAAATCGGTTTGGCGAACGTTTACCTAGCGGATCTTGCTTACGTGGCGTCAAAGCGCAAGTGCTTACAAATAATTTTGGATCTTTATCCCGTTTTTCCCGTCCAAATTGATACTAGGTATGAAGCTCAGGCCCTTCAGCATGTCATGCGTTTCTTGCCTCGTGACGCCCTTGGTCTGCAGGATCCGAGAATGGAGATATAACAAGCTACCTTGTTGGCAACTATTCACTCTAAGGTGATTCGTTTCTTAATGGAGCAAGCGGATATAATGGGACAAGCGCGGTTGCGCACTTTTGTTGCCTCAGGAGCAGATGGTTGGCTTCGGACACGCCCCGCTCTGGCTCAGGATTTGTTGCTCACCAACGCTGCATTTCGAGATATTGTTTCTATGCGGCTGGGAGTTCCATATTTTGAACCGGGGGAGGCATGTTCTTTTTGCCACCAAAATTTAGTTACTTTGGAACATGGACACAAACAAGCCACGCACACCATTTTGAAGAACGCTGTGTTTGTTTTAGCCTTGCAGGCTGGTGCGCGACCCTCGTTGGAGCCTGTGAACCTGTTACCCACTGATTCCCGGATAAGACCTGCGGATGTTTTGGTGATGGGACCCCCGCAAATCCTTTAATCGTTTTGGTGTCGTTTTCCGCGGTTGGCCCCCAGTCTCGTATTTTGGGAGTGGTAGCACAGCAAACACTGGCAGCAGCATGGCAATATGCCGAACATAAACGCACTCATGATGATTTGCGGAGTCGATATGTGGCTCAAAACATTGGTTACGAGCCTTTGGTTTGGGAAAGTACGGGTGGATTGGATGTCGAGGGAAAACAACTCCTTCGATCCCTTGTTCGCATGGTGGATGAAAAATGTGCTCTGTGTCTTGGATTATATGGACCCAATTTAAAATCCGAGTCTTATTTGAATTGCAGAGAAGTCATTATTTGGCATTTCAAAAGCATCGGGAGGCGGCGTTTGGTCGCATAAATAGGTGATTTTGGAGGTGCGCTCTAAGGATGATAAGTTAGTTTCCTTGACTTTGTCTATTGCTTTCGATGAGTGGCGGTGTCCTTTTCGATTATTTCTCTTAGTTTGTGTATAGCGGAGTTGTCCTTCCTTGAGTTACGAGGAATTGATATCTTTTGGATCGAGATTTTCGGCTTTTTTGTGTGTTTAATTTTCGTGTCTAAAGTAGCATTGGGTTGTGAATGGGCGAGATTCTATCTCCCGACGCTGTTTTGTGGTTAATGTTCTCGAGCATCTCGATATGAAGATTTGGGCTAAATTGCCTATTATATTATAAATTGCTAATCCTTTTACGTTAAGCAGGGTCCCGATAACGAGGTAAAGGTTAAGCTCCGCTCCCGTTCCTAGTAAACGAAAATCATTCTAATTTATTATAATTTAATATTAAATAATTAGTTTAATTTTATATTTGGTTTATATTATTTAGTAATATATATAATTTCCTAAAGCCAATTTTTTGAATATTGTATTTTAAAACAATTGCGAAATTAATATATTCGTTTTGGATATCGAATAAGTGTAAATTAAAATAAAGTTTAAAATATTAATAACAATATATTTATAATAATTCATAATTAAAAATATATATATATATATTATTATTTGAAAAATATTATAATTATAAATTAGCTTATTATAAAAAAAAAAAATATAATATATAAATTAATTAATAATAAATATTTTAAAAATCAATTTTAATAATTAATATATACTTTATATATATAATATAATATTAATTATAAACCAAATTCTAATAATAAAAATATATTAAAATTATATAGTTTAATATAAATTTAATAAATTTATTATATTAAAAAAAATATAAAAATAAAAAATATTTTTTATATATAATTTATAATTATAATATTAATAATATTAAAAATTAATAAAATAATTTGTGGTTTTACTATTATTATTCTATTTATATTATTATATCTATTTTAAATATAATGTAATATAAATATATATAATTAATAATATTAGCAATATTATAATATTATTAAATTCTTTAAAAAAATATTTATGTATATATTATGTATAATATTGTTATTTGTATCGTCATAATGCTATCAATATCATCATAATAATTAATAATACAAATAGTATTTTTAGGATACTGCGTCATAAGCCAATTAATTCTTTCCTAGTATAATTTTGTTTTCAAGAAATAAAGTATTTCTCAAAAAAAATCAACCCGATGCGACGCGCGGCTCAGAGCAAGAGTCATCGAGTACTCCAATATTCCCGGCGCTTCGGGTCGTAACATTTCAAAAAAATGCGGACATTAAGGCTACCCAATGTTTGTGAAATTTCGGCCAGCGCTGGCTCCACTGCCAAATTTCAGGAAATGAGACACCACCGGAACATCACACAGTGTCAAAGCACCACCGGGACCAGCGGAACATTTTCTGGCACTCTGACGGAACGAAAAAGTCACTCATGATCAATCGGATCAGCGGATCATAGGGTCAGCGGATCACAGACTCTCGCATCAATGGATCAGACCGTCTTATGAGGGGATCACGGATCTGCGGATCATGGGATCAGCGAACCATCGGATCAGCTGTTCGGATCATCGGATCAGCGGAGCGTTGGATGAGCAGACCGTCGGATCAGCGGATCGTCTGTCCTTCGGCTCGGCGAGGGACACCACCGGTGCAACACCAACAACATACCACCCGAACACCACTGAGACACAACAGGAAAACCACCGGGAAACTCGATCTCGGCAAAGATCGGATGCGCACACACTTTCCGGGTGATTGCTTATAGAGTATTGGACGTCATAGCTGGACGCTACATATTTAAATTGATTGTTCATTCAAGTGTGCTTTGATTGATTCAAGGAGTTGTTTGGATATTTCTCGATGTCGAGGTCAAGAGATTGTGTGTGATCCAAGTCCAGGTTGCGGAGCTGATTGTAGTCTGAGACTTGGCAGAGCGCTTCATGCGTGCAACTTGACAGACTTGACGTCGCTTGCATGCCAGGCAGCACAGGCTTCATGTAAACAGGTCCAACCTGACTTTCAGACATCAATCCGAGACCTGGCAAAACAAGGTGCGCCTGGCCCGCACTGTAGGGAGCGGCATAGACCGAGGTGACTGGTAGGAAGACCGGGTGGTCCACTTGCCTGCAGATTCTATCGAACATCACTTGACTTCCGTGCACGCTGCACGCTGTTGCAATTCGATATCTTCCAAATGTCCATTCAATCCTGGGTGTCCTTGTATCTGCCGCCGCGAAAGGAGGCGGAGAAACCACTCTAACCTGGCGAGGGATTTTTACCAAACATGTGCAGGGTTTTACAAGCCAGCTTGTCCGCTCTTGGTGATAAAGCGGCTCTACTTTGCACCGGGTAGGGACAAATACCTGCATCAGCTCAAAGCTGCGCCAAGCAGCTCTTCCAGCACTCACTCATTTGGCCTGCTGCCACAGCTGGGCTCCTGCACATCGCATGAGAAATCGAGGAGCAGGCCGCACGCCTAATTTTGGCTACCCGTCCTGCATGGAACCGGAACGGAATATGTACCGCAGCGGGCCTGCACATTCTGCAAATGGCGACGGCACTATCAAGCCTAGATAAGGCCGCCTTTGCCGGAGTGCTGCTTCTGGACCCCGCCGTAACTGCGGGCTTGGAGATGCCAGATGCATGCGCCCATCCCAGCCTTCCCAAAGTCGCGCCTATATACGTGGCGCGTGGCTCATGCACCACTGTTTGTGTTCGAGCAATGCCCTGTGATCGCAACTCCTGGCGGTGACATCTTGCCTGCGAACTGAGCAACTGTGAAAGTCCTGAATCTCCGCACGCTGACGCTCCAACTGGCATCCAGTGCAAAGCTTGCCGATGCGAGGTGCACACCCCAGGCCTCCTGCTTAAGGCGGGAGTTTTCCGCGTAGAGCGCCTGATCCAAGACTTTGGTAGAACTTGACAAGCCTTTTTCAGGATCCGCCTCAAGAGTCATAGGAGGTGGCGGAGATGCTACACGCCTCAACACGCAAATATGCCACTGCAAGAAGTGTCATGCTGCTTCATTCCGCAAGCTAAGCATGCACACGCTTCTGCCACTCGCGGCGGCGCTGATACTAGCCTCTCCTGTCTTGGAAGCGCCATCAATCTTGAGCGTTTGGTGTTCCATGGCATTCCACTCACCCATACTGGCAAAGGATTGGCACACCTTCGGCACAGACGGCACATCAATGTCCGCTTTGTTGGGAACATCCACTGCCTTTGCACAGCAGGTCAACTAACAGGAAACAGGTGAGGCAAGGCGCACATTTCAAAACCTCAAGACGAGCGCCTGTGTCTCCGCCGGGGCTTTGGTTTCTGTGAAAGCGGCCTGACGCTTTCATGTCAAGAGCTGGCGCAGGCTTGCTAGTCTTCTTCAAGGCAGCAGCCACTTCTACAGCCTCGGCAAGTGGATCTCCTGCCAGGTGCGAAGCTTTTCCATTGCACATCTCGAGTACATGGCTCCAGCCTGAAACTGTCACAACTGTTTCATTTCCACTCTCTTTCTCCGGCTTCTCCCTCAGTCAGTTGCATCTTTGTCACGGGCTTCATCTAAGCTAAGCCAGGAACTCGCCGTCCGAAATCTCCTCTCAGCTCACATTCTAGCAAGAACCGCGCACAAGTCTGCCGCTCCTTTGCTTCCTTTGCTGATTTTGCTTTGGCAGCCGCAGCCTCCTGGCCAGTCGCCTCTTTGGCCGCAGCCTCTTTGGCTGCCTTGGCTTCTTTTGCCTTGGCTTCTGCCTTTGCCTTTGCTGCGGCCTTCGTAGCTGGCTTCAGCTGGGTCTGTACCTGGACATCACGATATACTCAAGGATACCATGCCAAGTTTGGCCTCTGCCACGCTGCGTCTCTCGGTTGGGCTGCTCGAGCGAGGCCGCGGTGTGGCCTGGCCGCTTTGGTGGATTAGTCTGTCTCAGGTCGCTTGTGGCAATGGCACCCGGACGCTTTTCTTTGTCCAGCTTTGGTGCAGTGCACTTTGCGCGTTGACCAACGTCTGGGTCAGCATTATCGCACCTACTTGTGAGTAGCCGCTTTCAGGCAGCATGCCGAATTCGTCACTCATTGACTGACAAGGCGCTTTGCACAACCGCTTTCGGTGAAACGTTCTTCCATTCCACCGTTTAAAAAGCCCAGCAACGTTGGCTGGGGCTCACCAAAGTAACATCTCGGCACCTCACTTGCACAGAGCACGGGCTGCGCATGTCGCTTTGCCTTGCCCAAAGTGTTTCTTCCTCAAGCCCCAAGCCCGGCACGCCCGGCGCGCCCGCGACGTGAGGCAGCCTTGCTGCGAACCGTTTTCTCGCTGGACCGATTGGGCACTTCTGCGGGCGTCTCCGCCTGCAAACCTAGGCACGCACGGCTGAAACAGCATAGGCCAGCGACTCCAAGGGCCAAACAGGGCTCATCTGTCGAGTCCGAGCCTGAGACGGAACCCTACGTTACATCCAGACCACTAGCAGTTGAGCTCACATATTCAATTTACCCTCCAGAACCAGTAAAAACCTGTGGGAGCGGTAACTCACGGCTGTGGTCAATCAAACCCATCTTCGCTGCCTCTGCCTCAGGGGTGTTTTGAGGTAACACTGCTGCAACTGAAGCAAATATTGAAGTCAAGCTAGTTGGGGTTTCAACAGATTCGCATTTTCTGGAAACATCTGCCAAGAGGCACAAGTCCAGCACTTCGGAGATGTGGAAAAGCCGAGGGCCCGAGTCTGCCGAAGCGATGAATTACTCAGCGGTGCGTCATCTCATCTCCGCTTCGGCCGGGCCTGCAGCCTCGCATTCGTCAGCCTCGCGCTCGCCCTCGGTGCAAGGGCCAGGATCCTGGCGGTACGGGCGCGCAGGCAGCGCGAACTCTGAAGGCCTGCGCCTCAAGGCATTCCGCACCTGGCTCCTGGCGGCAAGCTCACGGCTGGCCAGGCGGATGTCTGCGCAGTCCTCTTCTGGCTGTTTTGAGCCGCTCGTCGGGCTGCAGTTGGCTACATCTACATCGGAGCACCTGCGTCACAAACAAAAGAGACAGCGCAGCCACTGCGGAGCTCTGCCTCACAGGCGATGTGCACGCCTCGTCCTGCCATGTGCGCCGGTTGGGCCAGTCAAGCCCGTGTGCAACAGCGCATCGACTAACAAATATCTTCAGATCACCCAAAAACTCATAGAACAGGCTGCCAACATCTTTCAGCTCAGACAGTATTTGGCCACAAAACAAAGGTGGTCTTTAGTTCTGTCAATGTCCTGACGATTGTCGACCTCTTCACCATCCTTGCCAGTGATATCCTTGCCGGTGCCATCCTTGCCGGTGCCATCCTTGCCGGTGCCATCCTTGCCGGTGCCATCCTTGACGGTGCCATCCTTGCCGGTGGCATCCTTGCCGCTGCCATCTTTGCCGGTGCCATCCTTGCCGGTGCCATCCTTGCCGCTGCCATCCTTGCCCAGCTTTTGGTCGCTTGCCGACAGCCAAGCCTCCTGCAACGCGTGCGATGCACACGCTACGTTTACAGAGCCAAGCCGAAGCACCACTCCTCTATTGCTAGGAGCCCATACGCATCTTCCAACTCCTGCACCATGTCCTCAATGTCAGGCGCAACCTCAGCTAAGGAACTTCAGATTTGGTGGCAAGTTCCTGGAGTCTCCCTTGCGTCGTGCGTTTGAGTGGGCAAACAAAACGGATGGTTCAAGCGCCAAAAAGGCACCGGCCCTTCCAGGCACCAGCAACCTGCTTTAATGACACCTGCAAAGCGCTTCCAGCAAATAAGCACTCTACGGCCGCTTTGTTCACGTCACGGCTGGCGATGGGATTGCTAATGCTTGGAGGCGCATGGGGTGCCTGTGTTGAAGTCACAGAAGGCAGAAAGTAATACTTGCTCAACCTGAGATATGCTGAAGGTTGCTGCTAAGATTCGCGACGCTGCTTCTGCTGGGTCTGTGCACAGCATCCAGGCATCCATGGAGGACAATGCCTGGGCGAACACACGGCAAGTGCTTGGTGCGCATGCGTATCACATGTTTATAGACACACGTACCTATATGATATATCCGCCGACATTGTGGAGGCGTGTCGGACTGAGCCGGAGGCTCTAAAGTATATATATATATATATATATATCGTCCCGTGTTCCGTGTTGCTACCCTCCCCCCCCAGATGGTATGGGTTATCCTGGCACCTACGGTCTTACCCCCACCCCGACCCCCTGAACTCGCACCCCGACACCCCGGCACCCCCACCCCCAGCACAAGGCAACCCGCAACCACCCATAAACCAACCCTAAACCAAACCCTAAACCGGAAACCTCTAAACCTAAACCAACCCTAAACCAATCCTAAATCAACATACACCAACCCTAAACCAACCCTAAACTAACCATAAATACACCCTAAACCAAACCCTAAACAATAAACCCTAAACCTAAACCAATCCTAAATCAACATAAACCAACCCTCAACTAACCCTAAATACACCCCAAACCAAACCCTAAACCATAAACCCTAAACCATAAACCCTAAACCAACCCTAAACCAATCCTAAATCAACATAAACCAACCCGAAACCAACCCAAACTAACCATACATGCACCCCAAATACACCCCAAACCAATTCTAAACCAATTCTAAACCAACCCTAAACCAACCCTAAACCACCACAACCCAACAACAGGACCACAACCACAGGGGGGGGGTACTTGTCTGACCCATGACCATTGCGGCGGGGGGGGGTGGGGGGACTGGCAACGCTGTACGATATATATATATATAAATAGATGTATAGATATGTGTATATATATATATATATATATATATATATACACGTACACATTGTGAGATAATTCAGATGCATTATGCGCTCGTTGCTTGATCGATGCCCGCAACTGGCTTTCCGTGCGATGAGAATGTGTCCATTAAACATAATATGCATTGGAATGGGGAAGGTCTTGATGAGGCAAGCATGCAGCTCAAAGTCTGCTTTCTCAACTCCTGGAACAGGGGAAACACACACCACACACACACAGTACAACATATTGAACTGCCTGAGAGCATTCACACCGCAATGCGGGCAAGTCAGATCGTGTGCTAGCGAGCTGCGGGTGCATATCCAGCAGTGGTCCGACGTTAACCTCAATCAGCGCTGTCTCAAGATCAATAAATGCGTCACATTGAATCTGCGGAGCAGGCCATCACGACGGGGTTTGGCGCCGAAGAATCATCTGGAAGTCGCAGAACCTCTACTACATCTGAGCTCTGGTCCTCACCTAAGCACAACTGCTTGGCATCTCAAAAACTCACGCCCGGACGAGCCTAAGCTCTCAAATTCTGCGGTCTTTGAGCAGGGAGCCTGCGGTCAAGGAGCCCCAATTCCCGTGCTGCATAGCCCTTTCCAGCTTTCATGCTTGGACATTCATGCATGTTCTGGCCTGGCATTCTGGCTTGGGCTCACAAATCACCACAGCGCCCATACAGCTTGCGTTGCCTCTTTTCAAAAATTACCCAAAAGGGATCTGTGAGTCCTGTCTGTACTATGCTCTTATGTAAAACTTGAGCCACCGGGCAACTGATGCGTAACTGCGTAACTGCCACTGCCATGGCAAGCTACACCGAAAATGGCGCCGAGTCTCGCGACTTCGTCTAGCGCACCTTGGCCACACTCGGCGGTCGCCTCCTCAAGGCGGGACTGCCTCGGGAGCCCCAGTGGCAAGCCGAGGCGAGCGAAGAATTTCGCCTTTGGCCGCCGGAGTGGTCCTTGCCATGTTCAAAGATGCACTTCAAGTTGCGGAAGGCAATTTTTTAAGATGCAATTCACCTAAGTTCCGCATTTCTCGCTCGTTTCGCAGTAGACGCATTCTCCCATGGTTTTCGTCCCTTCGCACGGTCCTGGATGCGGATGCATTGGCTTTGGGCTGCCCACTGGCCTTCATCACAAGGTGGTTAAAGAGCCTTGGGCCGCAAGAAACAAACATCTGGGAACCGCTGGTCGACAGCATGTCTGACATATGTTCAATCAAACCTTCCAAGCTGCCATGGTGGGCATGGTGCCAAGCCATGGTTCAGCTCCTCACGCTAAGCTGAGCCAGAGCGGCGGTTGACAAGCAGATGTTTCGAGCAAGCTTGCTGCTGCATGGTCCACGACTTTCTATGGGATAGAAGACAATCTGGGACACCCTACTTGACAAAACACAAGGGTTGCCCTATCCGTTTGAGACGCAACCATGGAATGACAGCAAATATACATACGACATACAACCCCCGCCCGGCACAACTCGCTGTTCAATGGCATAGTTCTGCCGCGGGCATTGGTATAGAAGGATCTTGTGCACACCCATTGGGGCACAGACACTTGGCCGCACATTCTGTTTGCAGGGCCAGCCATTCTATGGACATTGCCCAAGATGGCAAAATTGATTGGAGGAAAACATGATCCATAAAGATAGAGGCAACAAACTACGTCACTACGTCTGCTTTGCCTACTCTGTTCTACGCGCTCACGGGCCCTCATCCTGGCATCCACATCACACCACCTTTATGCTCTGCAAAGCTCTTCAAGTCGCCAGGTCCGCAACCGGCGCCGACTCTGGCACGCTGCTGGCCACAGTACTGAGCCTGGCAAAAAGATCTCTATGCCCCAAAAAATGCCTGAAATCTGGGATCTGAAGCCCATGCAATCCCGGAAAATCCCATTGGTGACCGTTGGTCTGGGAGCCCGGGCAGCTGCTCTAAATTCTGGTCTTCCAAATAGCCCTGGGCCGCCAGTGGCCTGGCGCCGCTTGGCTTGGCACCAGGCAGCTGGCAAGAGAAAAGCCACGCCGGCGGCTCGGAACGCCCGGCAGGCCCCAAGCGATGAGAGTTGGGAATGCCTCTCCAAGCTCATGGAACTCACAGCGCAGGGGCCAGGGACATGCCCAAACCAATAGCCGCTTTGTCAACGTCTGTGAATAGGTGTGCTTAGCAAGGAACCTGTATGGTGTTTGTCGCAAGGAAAAACACATCAAACCAGCCGTGGGAGTTGCTGTCACGTGAACACAACTTGCACCTCCACCTTGAAAGCCTGCGCGACGGAGGGGAACTCCTCAGCCTAAGCTCCAATTCGAGCACGCCCAAGTCCGAAATCCCATTGCACATCAGGCTGCGGCGTAGAGCACGAAAACCCGCAGCGGAGCAGACATCAAGGATGCTCCAGAAGGTGGTCGAGCCTGGATAGCCCAAGCTGAGAAAGAATAAGAGCAAAGTAAGGCGAGCCAGCAAGACCATCCCCACTGCGGCTGGAGCAAGGAATGCTTGGGAGGCCTCCGGGGCCTGCAATGCATGTAGATGGCAAATGCCAACAGTATACGACATGCAAAGAGAATCTCCGTCAAAGCTTTTACATTTGCCTCCTCTTGCACGGTCCCACCGCGTCCAGCACGCTGAGCAATGGCACGCTGCAAAACCGGCAACTGCCTTGGCAGATTGCCGGAACAGTCGGAGACAGGCAAGCTGTCGCATTATGTGATTTGGGTGCTTCTCAGAATAGACCCCTAAAGATGCAGTGTTTGCTTTGATTTGAAAAGGGAGCCGTGAAATGGGGGGGGTCTATTTTGAGAAACACACCACGTTGAACCATCGCCTCTGACACCAGGGGCAGCCTTGCCGGGAGAAAACCGTCAGGACCTGCCAACTCCGAGTTGCCGATTGGTGCACGTTTGTCTGCGCATGTGTGTGTGTGTGTCTATGCGTTTATGTGTGTATGTGTGTATGTGTATGTGTGTGTGTGTATGTGTATATGTGTGTTGCATGTGTGTATGAGTGGATGGATGGATGGATGGATGGATGGATGGATGGATGGATGGATGGATGGATGGATGGATGGATGGATGGATGGATGGATGGATGGATGGATGGATGGATGGATGGATCGATGGATGGATGGATGGAAGGATGGACGGACGGACGGACGGACGGACGGATGGATGGATGGATATGTGTGTGTGTGTGTGTGTGTGTGTGTGTGTGTGTGTGTGTGTGTGTGTGTGTGTGTGTGTGTGTGTGTGTGTGTGTGTGTGTGTGTGTGTGTGTGTGTGTGTGTGTGTGTGTGTGTGTGTGTGTGTGTGTGTGTGTGTTGTGTGTGTGTGTGTGTGTGTGTGTGTGTGTGTGTGTGTGTGTGTGTGTGTGTGTGTGTGTTGTGTGTGTGTGTGTGTGTGTGTGTGTGTGTGTGTGTGTGTGTGTGTGTGTGTGTGTGTGTGTGTGTGTGTGTGTGTGTGTGTGTGTGTGTGTGTGTGTGTGTGTGTGTGTGTGTGTGTGTGTGTGTGTGTGTGTGTGTGTGTGTGTGTGTGTGTGTGTGTGTGTGTGTGTGTGTGTGTGTGTGTGTGTGTGTGTGTGTGTGTGTGTGTGTGTGTGTGTGTGTGTGTGTGTGTGTGTGTGTGTGTGTGTGTGTGTGTGTGTGTGTGTGTGTGTGTGTGTGTGTGTGTGTGTGTGTGTGTGTGTGTGTGTGTGTGTGTGTGTGTGTGTGTGTGTGTGTGTGTGTGTGTGTGTGTGTGTGTGTGTGTGTGTGTGTGTGTGTGTGTGTGTGTGTGTGTGTGTGTGTGTGTGTGTGTGTGTGTGTGTGTGTGTGTGTGTGTGTGTGTGTGTGTGTGTGTGTGTGTGTGTGTGTGTGTGTGTGTGTGTGTGTGTGTGTGTGTGTGTGTGTGTGTGTGTGTGTGTGTGTGTGTGTGTGTGTGTGTGTGTGTGTGTGTGTGTGTGTGTGTGTGTGTGTGTGTGTGTGTGTGTGTGTGTGTGTGTGTGTGTTTGTGTTTGTGTGTGTGCGTGTTTGTGTGTGTGTGCGTATGTGTGCGTATGTGTGTGTGTGTGCATGTGCTGTGCGTAATGTGTGGAATGTATGAATATTTGCACTGTACGTAGTGTATCTAGCGTGTGTGGTGTTTGTAATGTATACGTAGTGTGTGTAATGTGTGCGTGTACTATATACAGTATGTAAAATATATGCATCATGTTTGTGTGTCTGTATGCATGTATAAATGTCATGCAATGTAATGCGATGCAATGTAACGCATGTATGTATGTACGTACGTACGTATGTATGTACCTGTGTGTGTGTGTGAATGTGTGTATGTGTGTGTGTGTGCATGCGGGTGTGTGTGTGTGTGTGCGTGCATGCGTGTATGTGTGTGTAGGTGTGCGTGGGTGTACATTCGTGTGTGTGTGTGTGTGCGTGCACGCGTGCGTGTGTGCGCACGCGCGTGCGTGTAGCTGTGTATGTGTGTAGCTGTGTAGGTGTGTAAGTACGCGTGCCTGCATGTGTGTATGTGTGTATTTTGTGTATGTGTGTGTGTGTATGTGTGCGTATGTGTGTGTATGTGTGTGTATGTGTGTGTATGTGTGTGTGTGGGTGTTCGCATGTGTGTTGTGTGTGTGTGTGTGCGCCTGTGTGTGTGTGCGGGTGTCTGTGCGTGCGCGTATGTGTGAGTGTGTGTGTGTGTGTGTGTCTTCGTGTGTGTGTGTGTTCGGGTGTTCGTTTATGCATTTACGTATTTACGTATTTCTGTGTTTACGCCTCTCCTTCCTTGCGCGCTTCTTCGTTTCTGTCAGTATGTGTGCATGTGCAAACACTGCGGCCGCAGGATAGGTGCACACAAACCAACCGAAGACAGGAAGACGCGAAGCTGCGCGGCTTCACAGCCTGAGCCCGAAGACGCGAAGATGCGAAGCTTTGCAGCTTCACAGATTCACGGCTTCAGAGCGAAGACGCAAACCCCACGTGACAAGCTGCACAGCTTCACAGCTTCAGCCCGCAGACACGAAGACGCGGAGCTGCGCAGCATCACAGCTTCACGGGCTTAGGCCGAAGACACGAAGACGCGAGAGTCTGGACTTAACAGTGATCATGAAGAGCTGGAGCGGACATGTGGAAAGGGGTTGGGTTGATTGAGTAAATGGCTGACTGAGAAAAGGCTGGGGCTCCATGTAGAAGGGGCCGGGTTGACAAAGATAAGGCCGAGCTATAGATCTTCATGTAGACACAGCATGCCTAAGGCTAAGAAACATCACCCCATCAATGCGGGCTTTGACTCACGACAAAGGCCCTTAGCCACAAATGCACCGCAACCTCTTAAAGATAGTTTCGGCTGAAGACAAGGGTGGGGGCGTCTGACTAAGTAAAGACATCCAGCCAAGGTATTTCAGTGGAAGGCTAGCGTGCCACGAGCAAAAGCACCGCCACCCCGTACAGATTGCTTTGGCTGAAAGAAAGCGTGGGGCATCATGGCAAAGCCCCTGGAGCATCTCAAGCTGCGAGATCACCCCTTGATGTGTAATTCCAAGGGATATTTTTCGGTTAGGCAGTTTGGCTCCTCACAGCAAAGCCCGTTTTCAACGTGTAACTGCGGCTGGAACGTTGGGAGGGTCTGGAGCCCCTGGAGCACTGCCACCGCGCATCCGGGCGCACCCCTTGTAGATAATGTCGGGCGTCTGGCTTCCCGTGGCAAAACCCCTTGGCTCCATCTGAAGCCAGAGGAGCGCGCTCTCTGGGGCTGGTGCGAAACGGGGAGCACGCGGCGCTGCTTGGCAGCAGCTTGCTTGCTCAAAAAGCCAGGCATCAGTGATGTCTGGACACTGCGCGCGCGAAATTCATACACACCTGCATGTTTTGGCAGGGCTGCCGGCGGAAGTCTTCTTCGCCTGAAACGACGGCGATCGAAGCGCAGCTGGGCGCAACGAGCGCGCGTCGCGCAAGCCACTTACGTGGCAAGGTTCAGCGCTGGGCAGCATGGCAAGTTCTCGCCGAACTTCAAACCCGTTTTCAAGGGGCCATCCGTTATTATGTTTTTCCGAGCGAGGGTCAATGGAAGGGGCGCCCTTACAAGGCCACCTGTAGAAAAGGCAGTGGCAAGCCACAGCACGGCAATTGCAGGCTCTGCTTCGGGCTTTCTGGGAAAAAGCAGGGCGAGCCCCGCTTTCGTAGAGCTTCATCAGCTTTTTCTAGCCCGAGAACCGGCGAGCAACCAAACTTACGTTTACACTCAGGTTAGCGGCGCGCCCTCAAGGAGGCAAGGAAGGGAGCACACTCAGACTCTTGGGGCGCTATATCGTTTGCAACAGTTATAGGGGCACGCGGCGCAAGAACCCCTCCAGGCGCCGCGCGTGACGCAACGTCAGCGTTCGGCGTTGCCTGTTGGCCTTGGCTTTCCTCCCGCCCGGCCAAAGCTGCCGCAGGCGAGACGCTGACAGGCTTATTGACGTCTTGCGCCCTCTGGGCCTTTGACGCTGGGCACGTCAGGTCCAGGAGCTAGTCCACCATGCAAGCGCCTCAAACCCCACACGAGCACAGGGACTCTTGAAATGTGCCTCAAGGCACCGAAGCTGACCAAGCGCAAGAACGCTGAGACAAGGCGCAGGTAAACCACAAATTCTGGGTTGATTTCCTGTCTAGCACCCGCCGGCAGAATGCGCTGGCCGCGGCCAAACCCCAAGCTGGTGCGTGTTGCGAGTGAAGTCAATCATTGTAGGCCGCTGAGGTTCCGAGCCAAACTGAGCGGCTGAGCGATGCTCGAATTTCGGCCCCTGGTCGCTTTGAGAACTTGCAGGGGTCCACGCCACAACCGTTCCGGGGCCCGCGGTGCAGGGGAGGCGAGGAGTGTGGTTTCGAGGTCCCTCCTGGCAGCGCCTCAAACGAAGATAGTTCGGTTGGAAAGCTAAAGATGGGGAACGGCTCTCGAGCCGTCCAGTTATTGAGCCATCGCGTAGTCAAGCCTCGAGGAACCGAAGCCGCGCAGCTTCAGAGCTTCAGAGCTTCACTTCGACTTTGCGCCGCTCTGGCCGCCACGGTCATTATACATGTAAATGTGTGGATGTCAATGCATGTATGTCAATGAGGGATGTCAATGCATGTAAGTATGTATTGTGTCGTATGAGATTGCATTACACAGCTCTTGCAATTGTAATGTGATGCAGTGTATGCAATAAATGTACTGCAATGTAACGTAATAATGCAATGAATTGAAATGAAAGGAAATGACATGTAATCCAATGTAATGTAATGTAATGTAACGTACCGTACCTTAGTGTGCTGTACTGTACCGTGCCGTACCGTAACGTACGTACGCCAATGTATCTGTGTCAATGCGTGTATGTCAAGGCATACATTGTAACGTAACGTAACGCAACATAACGTGTCTACGTATGTGTGTAATGTAATGCAATGCAACGTAACGTAATGGAATGCAATGTAATGCAATGTATGTGTGTCTATATTCTGCATGCATGGCATGGCTCTGCACGGCAGGGCATGGCATGGCATGTACGTGTAGACATCCTGCCTGCTCGTGACCCGTCTTTATGGCAGTGGTCATCTCTTCGAGCCTCAGCTCCACGTGCAACCCGGAAACCCTTGCAAACCACTGAGCCCGGCAATCGTTGCTGCCATCCTGGCACCAAGCTACGTCTCCCTAGCTGGTCATGAGCGCCTTCGCGCCTTCGCCCGCACTCCCGTCTCGCTTGGAAGGGTCAGGTACACGCTGAAAGTTCCTTGGTTTCACGTTTCACACAGAGCCTAGGTTGCTTGATTGCCTCCTTGCAAATTCCCCACACTACAAGGCTTCCTCTTGGGTCCCTGCCCGTCATTCAGCAAAACCTCCTCGCCACTCTCGGGGATGCCAACCGGCGCCTAGCATTGGAGGGCCCGCAACGCACCAACGAAGCGCACTTCAGTGTGTAGTTCTGCGCGCACTTTCTGGGACCTGGGGCATGCGCAGTGCTGGGCTCGCCAAGTTGGTGAAGCTGAGGATCTCAGCTGACTGACAAACTTCGCTTGTCTGGTCCCAAGCTGAACCGTGACCTGGCGCTAGGGGTACTTCGGACTTGGTAGCAGGATTGGGGTTCAGAAAGCACATGAATGCTGCAGCACAAGCCAAGAGCCACAAAGCCGCAGCAGCAAGAAGCCACAAAGCCCGCAGAAGCCAACGTCAGACCACCAAGAGTAAAGAACCAGACACATGTCAAACCAATCCTGAAATCAGGCAGACAGGCAACTAATATTGAAAACCATTTTTTGCCGCTGTCTCTCCGTGTCCGTCCAGCTCTGAGCCGTCTTTTCCTTCAAACATCTCAAACCGCAGGCAGTCCATTGCAGCACAGCTACCCACTTGCTCGAAGGATGAGCGGGCCTGGGGTGAAGGAAGTTCACACATGAACTCGTCCGAGCTGGGAGTCTGAGGCTTGCACGCCAACCACGTAAGGCAAAATATAGCTCGCTGCCAGCAATGCTACGGCACACCTGAGGGCAAAATAGCCCAAAACCAGAAAATAAAACCATTGCTCTGAGGCAGCTGCCAAGCCCATTTGGATGCAGCTTCTCTCCGAGAAATCAATGCCAAACCTGGTGCCGTGGCAAATGTGTTTCATCGCTCGTCAAGTTGAGCACGGGGCAGATCAGGGCAGCAGCCAGCCCCGGCAACACTTGCATCAGTAGATTTGGTGCAAAGAGAAGCAAGCCGGCAACCAGCAGCAGGGCCATCGCCTTCCCAAATCACGGAATGGATGAAACTTGGATCAGCAACGGTGCCTTTCTTCTGCCCTCTGGGGACTCTGGCTGGGCCTGCCATAGTTGAGTTTCACCTCAAACCTGCCAGACACCTTATGCGAAGAAAGCAAGCCCCAGTGGCCTGTCCCTCTCGCGAGGAAAATTGTTGCCACATCTGCTCAGCCTCGTCGTAGCTCACCTGAGGGAAAGCCAGGGGTAAAGCTTTGTGCGCTAGAGCGTCTTCAGCCAGGCCACATATGACCGGGTGCCACCCGTGCGATCGTACCTGTTTGCAGATAGCACTGCCTACTCTTTGCGCATCAGCTCCCAGTTCAAAACTGAATATGACTTGTGTAAGCCCGGCATTCCCGCGGTGCTTCGACAGCAGGGCACTCGGCACGCTTCTGTGAATCTCGTAAGACAGAGTAAGCTTCTGAAATTCTCTTGAAGCCAATCTGTCACCGGTTCAGCGTTCATAGCAAGCAGGCACGCAACATGTGACAGCCTAGATGTGTTGAATCCATCATCCTTGCCTCCGCATCTTTGTTGTTACCCTGGTTCTTGTCTGGATGGTACTTCAGGGCCAGCAACTTGTAGGCTTTCGCAATTTCAGCCTTGCGAACGCAAATGCAGCTGGCGCAGTCACGTGGGAAACCCAAAGACGTATACACCTTCTTTGTGGCTCTTTGTGTCGCACTTTTATCTATACCTTGAGGCAAGAAGAAACGCTTGATATACGGCTGTGGGTCAAACATGCGTACCCTAAAATGGAGCCCTGGTAAATGGAGCCAAAGACTCAAACATGCGGTCCCCTGGTGGTTTTATTTTGACCCATACCCATACCTCAAAATCTACCGTCCTTCAACATGCGCAAAGCTCATCTGCCCCACCTCCGTGGCATTTCGCTGCACACCGAGGACTGAGTAGTGATCCCCTGAGGAGAAGTCAATGGGGACGGAGGATGCCATCCTGGTGAGAGTGCCGTCAAAGGACTGGTCAGCAATTTTTGGAGTTCCGCCAATGTGCGGTTTTGAAAGCCAATCCCAAGTCTGTCCTGGGGGCTAAACACTGGAGGCGTGATGATACGATAAGGTAGTCTCAGTTGGGAGGCTTTCCGCTCCAGATAGCTTGACAACCGAAAGCTGGCAGATTTGCATGCTTCCTCTCTGCACAGCTTGTCCATTTGATCCATGCGTCAAAAGAGCTGCGAGAGGTTTGAGCCGGGCACAGGCAGTCAAAGCATCAAGCAAGCCATTTGCTTTCGCCTATTGGCATCGCTTGCAACAGCTCTGACTGAAGGACTGCGATCACAAGTGCACTTGGAGCCACAACACGCTGGCAACTTGTTCCAACTTCCGAGCTGCCAGTGTCAGGCCGTGCTATGCACTCGGCTGCACACCTCTGAAGCTCAAACACACTCCACACATACCTACATTTCGCTTGGCTGTATGGGTGTGTCTTCTTTGAGGGTACTCCCTTTTTTGGTGGGTTTTGAAGGGAAAACAACAGGAAAATGTGTTTTCCTTTCCTCTTTTTCTTTGGGGGGGGTTCTACCAAACAAGACGAGCCATGTGCACCTTGGAGGTCTTGGCGAATCCTTCGTCTCCGCGGGCAAGCGCACTGCCTGCCGGGCTCATGCCAGGTCTATGCGGCCTGGGGAGTCGAGGCCTTGAAGCCTTGGTAGTTCCATCGGGTCTGGGAACTAGGCCTTCATCGTTTGGGCCGCGCGACATTGTGCATTCAAAATGGGCGGTCCTTTCTTTTGGCAGCGGTCCAAGCTTCTTTTTGACAGTCTCTGCCACAGAAGTAGACCTTGCACTACATTTTATCCGTCCACAGCTCGAGCAAAACTGAGCGGCCCACATCTTCACCATTTGCCCACGCCCAGTTTGAGCAGCGCTGCCTGCGAATCTGCCGGCTCGGAAGCTCTGACACGAGGTAAACAAGACCTAAGCCATGTGCAAATGCTTGCCCTTCACGTTGCAGTGCAAGCACCTGGAAACCAAATTTCAAGTTTTTCGGCAATCTGGTTTTCCATATTCCCACCTTGGCTCCTTCACCTCGGGCAAAGGCTCAGCACCTTCACGGACGACGCCAAAGACAGCGCCGTCTCTGCTGAACCTCAAAGTGCAATTCGTGGCGATGAACGCGTCCCTTCTGTTCTCAGGGTCGAACTGTTTGGCTGCCTCCCAGGTAGCCCGGAAATCATCCCAGTCGTCGATTAGGCTCCCATTCAGCTCAATGATCCGATCTCCTGACTGGAGGTGGGTGCATGCGAAGTCAAAACACTCTTCCGACCGCCTAGTTCCCAGCCATACTTCTCACTCTTCTTGTGTATGGAGACCTAGGCACGATGAAGCTGCATCCGGCAAGCCTGGTGTGGCAAGGTATTCCTGAACCGAAATGTTTCAACGTTCGGTTTTACCAGGACCCGATAGCTATCACAGTTTATGTATTCTCTCAGTAAATGATGGTCCACCGAGAAGTAGACCCCTGTATTGCAACTGCCGAGAAAATGTAAGAAAGTCGGGCCTTTCACTCGTTATGATTGACACATGTAATGTCTTGTTGTTGAGACACGACACCAGGACTTGTTTTGAGATTTGCCGTTCAAAGCCCAGCAAGAATAAGCTCCCGTGGCACTTTGATAAACCCAAGATCCTTGACTGCACCCGTGCTGCAAGTCGGATCACCCGAGCTTCTCTGGGAGCGAGGCTATGATAAGACCTGCCCGAGTTGCTTTGCCAGTTGAAGCTCCAGGTAAGTGACTTCCTTTGTTTCCCCTTAGAAACATCCAAAAAGGCGTTGATTCCGATTTTTAGACACTCCCAGTTGAGCCTTTGGGGCTTTTCAGTGTCGAACGGCCTCGGTGGTCTTCATCAGCATCGTCCAGCCCTCCGCGCAAGGGCGATGCCGGCTCACTTTTAGGAGTTGACAGCGGAGGGACTTCAGGAGAATGGGCAGAAAAGCGGAGAGAAGAACGGAGCGAAGAGCTGGGAACAGGAGCGAAGCGAAGATTGCAAAGAGAAGAGCACAGAGCAGAATGGGTAGAATAGCTGAGAGAGGAGCGCAGAAGAGAGAGCGGAGCAAATCAGAAGAGGAGAGAGGCGTGGAGCCAATGGGGAGAAGAGGAAGAAGAGAGGAGCAAAGAGTTGGGAAGAAGAGCAGCAAAGCTCAGATCGGAGCGAGTGGGGAGAAGCTCAAAGCGAAGAGTGGGCATAAGCCGGGCAGCCTTGTGGGTCCAGGGGAAGGGGGTTGAGCCTGCGGGGGCCGAAAGGGAGGGAGGGGAGGTCTGCGCGGGTTTTTGGTGCCCAAGCAAAAGTTGTTTGTTTTTTTTTGTTTTTCCAAAGCCAAATGTCTACCGCCAAAAATTGATACGCACAAAAGCAAGAGAGACTCCCGCTAAGCCAGCTTTCGTGATCGCAAGCCCGTGCCTAAGCCCAGAGTGCCATCAGCGAGCGTCTCCTTAACATGAACCATCACCTTGGCTTCAAAGCACTTCCAAAAGGTCGGTATGTGGAAAGCCAACCACTAAACACTAATCTCACTTCTAAAACCCAACCACTAAACATTAATACCACTTCTAGTGGGTGAAATTCGGGAATTCTTTGAGAAACCGAGTAAATATGTTCACCCTGCGCTTCGCATGCAAAAGGAAGCCACACTAAGCAAGCTGCATTGGGCCTCTCCTTTGCCTGCTTGGCCCGGCGGCTCTTCTTTCGCTTTGCTCGTAGCAGTCGCTGCACCTGCCAACAGCTTTGAAGAAGCAAGCTCATGAGTACCTTGAACTTAATCCTCCCGAGCCTCTTGAGCATGTTGAGCCTACTGACTGAACCTCCGAGTGTCCCAGCTGAGTCTCCAGCTGCAGTGAGTGAGTTGATGTCAGCATCGCACAAACCTCAGAGCGAGCTGTTTGATCCCTAGTCAAAGCCAGGATTCTCCCCCGTCGGGCTGGCACCTTCTGGATCATCCTCATCTTCAGCCTCCAATGACTCAAGCACGTCAAGCACAACGAGCAAAGCTGCGGGTGGATGGCGCGAAGCCTCATCATTCTTCTCCTCCTCACTGTCTGGATCTGCTTCGGCAGGACAGGCCTTGAGCAGTCAGAGACGAGGAGAAACAAACCAGATCGAAGAGCAACACCTCTCGCAGTACTCGGTCTTCAGGAAGCACGTCCTCCATCCGCGCCAGAGCTCCAGCTGTCCGCGTTGCAAGTGCTCTCCTTCTGATCCTTGAACATCTTCCGAAAGGGATTCTCGTCATCGCTGTGCCATATCCTTAAGGCTTCAAGCATGCCCTTCCGCCGAACTTCAAAACTAGGCCCTGCACTCCCGACAACACTCGATGCCCTCTTGCCACTTTGTTGAAGAAGTGGCAAGGGCTACGGCCTGCAAAACGGGCGATCTTGGTCTATCTCTTAATTTGGGGCGGCTTCGCTTTGGTTTCCCTTTAAGCTATCTTCCTCATTTGCAGCATCTGCTCTTGGCTCAACCGTTCAACCGCCCTCTGTCCTTCTTCTGGTCGCGGGTTTTCTCGTCTTGCCAACGCTCCAGGCCTGAGCCAAGGTGTGACCTAATCCCGTGGATGACATTCTTCAGGTGCCAGCATTCAAATACAGTGTCCTCCAGGCATCTGATGTAGTGCGCCGCCTTACTGCTAAACTCATTCTGCTGCTGGTCTACAAATGAACTGAGCCAAACACAACATCGTAACTGGTCCTGGAGATGCTTCTGGCCAAAAGCCTTGGTTTGCATCTTCGGACAGCTCTGCGGTCCGTGCACCATAATTATGGGTTGCTAAATTAGAATGTTCCTTGAACTTGACCGGTTGGAATGCATTTGCTATGTCTATAGCATCAAGGTTTAGGCCGGTGCTGGGTTTGATCCCGCATCATGGGTCTTAAGGATGAAACGAAGCGCTAGCCTTCGGATGAGACGACTTACCGAGCTACCGATTTGATTTGCAACGAATTAGTGATACAGTTGGCATTTTTTTCGGCCTGTAGCAGACCTACAGCGATTGCGATTGCGGCATGCCATCAACACCGCTTCCCAGCCAGACGCGAAGATGACATTCAGGCCTTTCATACTGCCAGTGCTGCGAAGCTGCAGGTTCTGGCGCATGTATTGTCCATATTCAATTTGGGCAGCTTGTGTGCTCCACCTTCCTCCATTCTACATGACTCTGCGATACATTTGAGCCATTCGCTGCTGCATTGAGTTCGCCAGGCTTTGACTGCAAGGTCTCTTCCACCTGATTTGTGGCCAAGGTTTGGTTCAGCGGCAAAAGTGCTGCTTGCTTGGTTTTTCCCAGTGGATTATTTGGGACACAGAACAAATGTCGCCTTGGAAGTGTTTTTTTGTCAGCTGTGTGGTCTTGCAGGGCTCTCCTATGGCTGAGATCCAGGCACAGGTCCAAGCATGCTTCGAGAATCTTGCAGATGTTGGATCCCAACGCGCGCCACGTCCGTATACATGGATGCCAGCACGCGCATAGCAGGGGAGCCAAGCATCTGCTTGATATCATTCCGCCATACTGAAGGGCCAAGAAGGCCCATACGGACTTTATCAATGGTTTTCCTTTGGCGCTATGTGGGAATCGGTAAGTTGCAAAGGCCAACAACCACAAGCAAGGAGGCTTGTCGCAAAGACTATTAGAGCACTTCTCGACACCATAAAGCCCTCGTATCGCGAAAGGCCTAAGCTTCGGTATCGCCTTGCTAGAAAAGCACCTCCTTGGTGCAGTGTTTTCCTGGTGACATATACGGGCAGTGAAGTTGCAATTCGTGCCAGGGAGCATGTTGAAATCAAGCTTCATCGTCCACTAGGAACTGGAATTCCCGCTGGATTCAAAAGGAGCAAGCAGAAAAACCGACAGAGACCCCCGCACTTGCGGGCCCCAAGAAGCAGGCAGACACAAATATTTCCGTGAGCGTTTTTGTTTCAAGGAACTTCATAGACGCTTCAAGTCTACCTGTGTTTTGCGTTTCAGGGTGCAATGCCTGCTGTTGACCCAACTAGGATGCAGCGTACAGGTGGCAGCAGAAACTTCAGGCGCAGCATGGTGGTACACTTGGCAACTCAATATCTATGAGTCTACTTTCAGAAGACTGTTCTTGCTTCTTCTCTATTCCAAAAAGTGCTGTTAGCAGTAAAATGCGCCTTGCTGATTGGACGCTTAAAGAAGCCTCATCAGAGACGACAAGTGCGACAGCGGCTGTGGCTTGCGAAGAGAGGTTTGCCCCCTACCGCTTTTTGCTTATCAAAGTTTGGGACGGAGCGCTTTTAGCATGTGGTCGGCGCATGATGATGTCTAGTGTGCATGGCGCTCCGGCGCTTGAACATCGTGGACACCCGGAGAAGAAGCGGATGATTTCAAGGTTTCGCCTTTTCCTTTCTCGCCCGCCATATTTTTCTGACCAGTGGCAACACTCAGTTGTTTGCAAGTAGCAATGCCCTTCTTCCTGATTCAATTCCTTTGACAATGGCTTGGTTGGTTGGTTGGTTGGTTGGTTGGTCGGTCGGTGGGTTGGTTGGTTGGTTGGTTGGTTGGTTGCTTGGTTGGTTGGTTGTGGTTGGTTGGTTGGCTGGCTGGTTGGCTGGTTGGTTGCGGTTGGTTGGCTGGCTGGCTGGTTGGTTGGTTGGTTGCGGTTGGTTGCGGTTGGTTGCGGTTGGTTGCGGTTGGTTGCGGTTGGTTGCGGTTGGTTGCGGTTGGTTGCGGTTGGTTGCGGTTGGTTGCGGTTGGTTGCGGTTGGTTGCGGTTGGGTTGCGGTTGGTTGCGGTTGGTTGCGGTTGGTTGCGGTTTGGTTGCGGTTGGTTGCGGTTGGTTGCGGTTGGTTGCGGTTGGTTGCGGTTGGTTGCGGTTGGTTGCGGTTGGTTGCGGTTGGTTGCGGTTGGTTGCGGTTGGTTGCGGTTGGTTGCGGTTGGTTGCGGTTGGTTGCGGTTGGTTGCGGTTGGTTGCGGTTGGTGGCGGTTGGGTGCGGTTGGTGGCGGTTGGTGGCGGTTGGTTGCGGTTTGTTGCGGTTGGTTGCGGTTGGTTGCGGTTGGTTGCGGTTGGTTGCGGTTGGTTGCGGTTGGTTGCGGCTGGTTGCGGCTGGTTGCGGCTGGTTGCGGCTGGTTGCGGCTGGTTGCGGCTGGTTGCGGCTGGTTGCGGTTGGCTGCGGTTGGCTGCGGCTGGTTGCGGTTGGTTGCGGTTGGTTGCGGTTGGTTGCGGTTGGTTGCGGTTGGTTGCGGTTGGTTGCAGTTGGTTGCGGTTGGTTGCGGTTGGTTGCGGTTGGTTGCGGGGTTGGTTGCGGCTTTGTTGCGGCTGGCTGCGGCTGGTTGCGGTTGGTTGCGGTTGGTTGGTTGCGGCTGGTTGCGGTTGGTTGCGGTTGGTTGGTTGCGGTTGGTTGGCTGCGGTTGGTTGGTTGCGGTTGGTTGGTTGCGGTTGGTTGGTTGCGGTTGGTTGGTTGCGGTTGGTTGGTTGCGGTTGGTTGGTTGCGGTTGGTTGGTTGCGGTTGGTTGGGTGCGGTTGGTTGGGTGCGGTTGGTTGGGTGCGGTTGGTTGGTTGCGGTTGGTTGGTTGCGGTTGGTTGGTTGCGGTTGGTTGGTTGCGGTTGGTTGGTTGCGGTTGGTTGGTTGCGGTTGGTTGGTTGCGGGTTGGTTGGTTGCGGTTGGTTGGTTGCGGTTGGTTGGTTGCGGTTGGTTGGTTGCGGTTGGTTGGTTGCGGTTGGTTGGTTGCGGTTGGTTGGTTGCGGTTGGTTGGTTGCGGTTGGTTGGTTGCGGTTGGTTGGTTGCGGTTGGTTGGTTGCGGTTGGTTGGTTGCGGTTGGTTGCGGTTGGTTGGTTGCGGTTGGTTGGTTGCGGTTGGTTGGTTGCGGTTGGTTGGTTGCGGTTGGTTGGTTGCGGTTGGTTGGTTGCGGTTGGTTGGTTGCGGTTGGTTGGTTGCGGTTGGTTGGTTGCGGTTGGTTGGTTGCG